AATAAATATTTTATATAAATACATATATGATATAAAACAGTATTTTACTGTTTTCTTGCAATTAAGAAGGAATCACAGCAAGCGGAGTGTCTCCAACTTACTGCTCAGTTTCAGGTGTGTTAGCACAAGCTGTTTCATCTCACATTTTCCCACTACTTGTTCTGGTTGTAACAAAAGGCAGGAGCGAGAGTAATTCCGTCTCTATGTACACATGCATGAGAAGCAAATCCTGGAGTGTAACAGTTTCAGCAGTCCCATGTGGGTCTGAAGACACAGCGGAGTTTGTTTTCAGTTCACCATAAGAAGGCACAGAGAGCAGACATGGATAGCAAGACTGTAATCTCCCTCCTGATCCTCTCTTTTATGGGCAACTTTCCTGGTAAGAAAATTCAATTTATTTTCCTTTGTATTACAATTCTTCTGCAATATGGTTTAGCTAAACAGAGTGTTTTCAAGGTGTGTAGGACTTCCCTACGCACACTGTCTTTGAGGTAGCAGGTAAAGAAAAAACATATTCATGGACTGTCAGAGTGGGCCTATTTCTTGTCTCCTATTATTCTTCTGCTAGTGGAGATTGACTGACACTGGTGAACTTGTCCCTTCAATATTCTGAGAAAAATGAGATTACAGCCAGGGTCTCCAAAGTGATAGCCTGCAATAACTGCGTGGCATAATGCATCACTATCACTTTTCATGCTGGAATATTGCTTGCGATATTCAACTTAGTTTTAATCAATCTATTTCTAATCAACAGTCTTCTGTTAGAGCTCTTTCCTGAGAAGGATGAGGGTAAAAAAAAAAACAAAACAAACTGTGCTGGGAAAGTCCAAAAAGTATTTTGTGGGCAGAAAGCATGCCAAGTTCAGGGGTCTGGAATGCTTCCAAGCCTCAGCACCATAAGGATGCGTGCTCCTACTGCGTCCTGGTTTCACGTTGGGATGACACACATCTGCATGCTCTCCTGAGCCAGAACAGAGCTGGATGTGGCCAACCTCCAGGCTGGGCAACTGGCTAACACGTTGCCTGTATCATTACACACACGTGCAGCAAAGCCCTGGCACAGCCTTTGGGAATCTCATTTTCTTCTCCTGAGCCTGCAGATGGGATGTTGCGGCTCTGCTGCGATGCTCTGTGCTTCCCAGTGCTTGACTTTCAAGTGCGCTTGTTTCTGCTTTCTGTCAGGTAGGTAGGGGGGTGTCAGTCAGCCAAAAGAAGCACCGGCAGATTCAGCTGGGCAGAAGATAAGCGAAGAAGGGAAATAGGTGGATGATCGTATCAAGGTACAAGAACGAGCACAGGGTGAGGTAAAGGCGTTTGCTCTTTGGTCTTCAGGGATGTCAAGACTACCCACAGTAAGAGAGGACTGATGAAGTGACTGGGATTTCAGGTCCTGCAGCCCCACGCATCTGAGTTAAGGTGTCCGCGTGCCCCACCATCCATTTATCTGGAGCTTGTCTTTGCTTCTTGCTGATACTGCCCTCCAAGAACTGAATCTCCTCTTTCAAATATATTCCACAGTTCAACTGTCAGGGATTTCAAGCTGAAGATGCAGCTTGCCTTAGTAGGAAAAACGGACAAGTATGAGAGTTGTGATTGTGCATTTTAACCTGCGATATCTGACTTGAAAACAGGAAGATATCCCAGTGTCTGCAGTGGGTGGAGATGGGAAAGCCCTGGGCTTCACGGCTTGTGATCTTGGATCTCTTCCGTCACCTCTCCGATGGTCTGTGCTCAATCCCTAAAGCAGGGACATGTTTTTTTGCTTCACTAGGGCAACGTGGGTCTGGAAGGGCTGTCAGGCAACAGCAAATTCAGTCCATGGACTTCGGTGCTGTACAATGTGTGGCATAATTTAATCGAACTCCATCCCAAAGCTTGCTGGGTTTCTTGCTCCTAGTACTTACCCAGAGCTGCTTCATCAGGGGCCCCCACACTTTTCCTAGCATCTTCATTAAGCTTCTAAGCTGAATATTTTCGTGGCTTTTTCACACCAGGTACCAGTGTAGAATTTCAGCCCAAACAGGTTTCGCTTCCAGCCTGTATTCATGGGGAGTTGCCATCTGCCTCTTCAGCTGGCTTTTTCTTCCTCTCATAAGAGAGGAGCCCCACATTTCTGGTAGCCTTTCATTGCACTTGCTGTTGTGGGATGCCAAAATAATTGTAGTAGCAATGGGAACTTAGAAATTGTTACTTCTACAAAGTCTGCAGATCTCATATGCCCTGTTCTTGCTCAGTGAAGGCACTACATTAAACCCATGAATAACAATCCATTTACATCTTGAGGCATGAACTTTTTATTCCTTCTGCTTTCTCTAATTAATATTTTCATTGTTAGCTTGGTTCCGTTGCAGGCATTATAAGCTTCCCTTTCCTTTCCTCACAGAGACGATGCTGGCAGCGGAGCTGCGGTGTCACTGCATTCAGACTGTCACAGGATTAATGTTGCCAAAGCGCCTGGCCAACGTAGAAATCATTCCTAAGGGCCCACACTGCAACACTGTGGAAATCATGTAAGTAAAGTCAGCAGGCAAGGGAAGTTACGGCTTAGGAATGCTGAAGAGTTAGCAGCCCTTCGGCTTATAATCCTCAGCCTTGTCTGCATCCTCCTCTGACCTCCTCAGCTGCCAATACTAACTAGAGTGAAATGTTCATTCCACTGCAGAGCAACACTGAAGAACACCCAGCAAGTCTGTTTAGATCCCCACGCCAAATGGGTGAAGATGATAATTAACAGGATTCTACAAAGGTAACTGCCAGGATTACCTAGCAACTGGAATTATTCCACCAAAGGGCATGTCTTCTCCAGTATAAACATCAACGTGTGTGCAATCTTCAGCGCTCTTTCTCTGAGACCCATTTGAGTAGTGCAGGGCTAGGAATATAGGAGGACTAGATTTAGTTGATCTTTGGACAAGGCAGAAACAAGGCCTGCCTGACATACCTCAGTAATTTAAAACAAACACACTGTTACATGTCATACTTTTCAGACAAGCATATTGATCCAGGGTTCCTCAGGGTTGTGTTCAGCTCCACATCGCCAAGGGCAATGTTTGGGCTTTCCGGAGGAACAGTCTTGGAAGCAATACAGAAGCGTTGTTTAGCACGGTCCTGCGCCAGCTGGTCTGCCCAAGAGACAAGATGATCATTAGGACAAACTTCTCCTGTGTCTGCGGGTGGGTGCATCTCCTCAGAGATAAATTACACACAATAGCTATCCAGGCAAACTTATTCTAGAATAGTTTCCAGTGACTTCCCCCTAATGCAAATTAAACAAACATTCAACTAAAAAGAAACAAAAAAGAAAATAATTATTTTGTTTTCCACTAAAAGGGAATCTGGTTTTGTCTGTTTTCGATGTTTGTAAAATAATCTCACTGTTTTGGGCCTGCTGTAATTCATTACAATATCTGTATTACAGCTCACCCAAGAAACGGCGTCAGTAAAGGAAACAGAGGCATCTCTGCAAGCAAGAGAAAGCTGCATAGAAATGCCATGACCCTTTAAGTGTCTCCAGGGACAGGGGATTCATAATTTCACTCTAGCTTTTTCTGTCCTCACTGCTCTCCATGCACAGACTGTTCATCTGCAAAAGGAAACTGCCAGGCTCAATAGGCTGTCACAACACTAGCAGACTCTCGTATTTTATGGCAAAATTTTACATGGAGCTTAACTGCAGAAGCATTTAAAGCAATATCCTAACCAAACACTAGCCTTGCATTGGGCGGCTAGAAACACCTGCACAGGTTTAGCAACACCAAGGATTCGGCATTCACCAAACCGACAGTTATACCAAATCATCTCTAAGCTTCATTCTGAAGGACTATGGAGTACAGTTTTGTCTAGTTTAAGAGGGCTGTAGTTTTCAAAGTAAAGAAATATTAACCAAAGGAGAGTCTTACTGAAAGGAAAAAAAAATTTTGAAAAGAAAGGAATAAAAGGAATTTCTTGGTATCAATAGAAACCTTGTTTAGAGGCAATGTGGTCAATGAAGTGAAGCAAATGCTGTTAAGGTTTCATTGTTTAAAAACAGTTTTTTTGGTCTTATGCATATTAAACATACCTCTAACCTTAAAACAGCAGAGTCATAGTACTTTTGGTTTTGTCCCCAAGCTATCTTCTCTAAAAGTCTTTTAGAAGCCATGAATTCAACTTTTCATAAAAGAAATGTGAAGAAAATGTGTGTGAAATATCTTTAGTGTTTTCAAACAAGCTCAGAGTTTTGCCACCTGCAAACCATTGTTAGGGTTTATTCATAGTGCACCAGGGCCTGAAAAGTAAATAAAAATTGACAATAAGTAAAACAAGACTGTAGGTAATATTCTGAATTGCTATGTCTGTTTTTACAAGAAAATAAACTAGGCTTTGAGTTTATCTTCAGTAATGACAGTTTTGCTAAAATACATTTCCTTTTCCCTTTAAAAAACATATTTGAGTACTATGTTGTTTTCAAAATTAAAAGCACCGGTTCCCCATCTGAACACAGGCGCATTTTTGGTTCTTATGTATGCAAGAGATCATGACATCATCACTGAATACTAACACCGTAGGTCTCCAAACACACTTGAGAGATGATGTCTCAGCTGTGTAGCATGAGGGGCTGTTTAAGGACTACCTGACTACTTAATAAATGAAAGAACAAACAAAATGAAACCAAAACGGATTTGCCATTACACAAATAAGCAGAATAGGTCTTTTTAGCCTGGAAAAGAGATGACAGAGGGAACATGACAAAATTCTGTAATGCTGAAAACGGCATGCTTAAGGAGAACAAGGAATGATGGATCACTGATTCCAATCTAAAAGAAAAACAGGGCAAAAATGAAGGTAGTGGGTGGCAGGTTCAGCAGAAACTAAAGCAACGTGTTCTTCTTACAACAAATACTTCAGCTGTGGGATTCTTTGCTACACCTATTTGTGGATATTAAATGCTTCCAGGGGTTCAGGCAGTGAGTAGACAAATTAATGAGGGAAAATCCTGTAAGGCCTATTCAAGACAAAGATGCTGCCTTTAGCTCAAGAAGTTCCTCAATTTCAAATTCCTGGCATCTGGAAAGATATAGAGGAAAAGTAATAGCGTGAAGTATCTTTATATGTTTTCCCTGTTCTTTTCCAAGCATTCTTTATTGGTGACTACGAGTGTCAAGGTACTGTTCTAGATGAACCTGTAAGGAGACATGATGCACCTGTTGTTACGCTCTTTTGGCCTAAGGTCCTGAAATGTCACAGTGTTTCCAAGGTGCAAAGTAAGGACTCTGTTGGCTTGCGTTTTGTGAGCAGCTGAAGAAATCTCCTCTATACAACAAATTAAATGAATGAGGCAATAAAACAGAGCAGTTTGTTTCACAAAGTATCCTGAGTTAAGCTTCTGATCCTCACGCTGCTGATTTCACATCCTAGATTGACCACAGGAATAGCAATGTCAGCATGAAAAACAGGAAAATATAATTTCCACTGTGGAAGCATAATTTAGAAACTTCACAGCGTTATGAGGAAGAGTAACTACGGTCTTGAAAGATTACACCATTACTGCGTATCAGAACCGTGTTAGAACTGGCGCATAAATTCTGCTTGAGTTAATCATGTCCAGTAAACTGCAGAAAACATACCCTTTCAGAAACTTCTTCCACTGATTTGAATGGGGTTTCCTCGTTCCTGGAACCACCACCCAATTTAATATGATTTATCTGATTAACACGCATATTTGTCAGTGTTAATTTATCAGTGAGTGAGAACTCAGCACCTGGTGGCCTGTTGTTTCGTCCTCTGTTCCCGGAAGTCAGCGAAGAGAGATTTCCCCAGACAGTTATGCTGTGCTTGCAGTAATAGCAGACAGGAGATACCTTATTAAAGGTCAGTCCCTTTAAACACAAAGAAGTTCAGGTGTTAAAAGCATCGCAGGTGGACTTTCCTCTCTTTTTAGTCAATTTTCATCACATTCAAATCACATTTGACCAGTGATTTGAAAAATATTTTTGTGCAATATATTCACTGACATTTAAAAACATTGTTCTCCATCTTGGGTGGGGGAGGACATAAAGATCTTTCCTAAGGACAAATCTTTTCAAGCAGAACACAGCAGCTGGTGGTTTTTTGTTTCGTTTGCTTTTTTCAAAAACAGCAAATAAGAATTTTCAAATCAAAAAAAGAGAATTCTTCATCACTGTGATTTCCCAAAGCGATCAACTGGCACTTGCAATAAAAAAATTGCTCATCGTTACGAATTCCAAGATGGTATAGCAGTGCTATACTTGATCTTTCCTGGGAAGCTTTGCCCATCTTGACATGAGTATCTGCACAATTTTAACCTCTCATGAATTATTTTCTTGATCCAGAGTTATAAAAAGCCAATGATAAATATGAAACAAAATGTCCTCATTCAGACATTCACCATCTCAGTGCATCTTTTCCATCTGCACATTCTTAGTAATGCAATAATGTTGTCACTGAGCTGAAACCACCAAAAATCAAGGCCAAGTTATGAGATAATACTGGTGCTGAGTAAATTGGTGTGGTGAATGAAAACAGTTAGCCACAGCTCCTCGGACACTTGCTAACACAGACACTAAATGGTGTCAACATAAAAACATACATTATACCACACTGCCAACAGGGCTATTTAGGAACCTGAAATACGGCGTCATTCATGTACTGCCACACTTTTTTACGGGAAGGTAGCCGCAGAGTCTGAACTCCCCACTTATTGTCCCAGACTACTTCTTCTTGTTCCTAATGCCAAGTTCATGTAAGACTGGCCACCCCACTACGCATTGCTGCGGGAGCATGCCAATGAGTGCATAGCACCAGGGTGAGATCACCGGACCAGCTGTAATGTGCTTTGTAAAGCCATATACAAGATACCGCATCCTTGCTGTTGCTGCAGTCTGTGCCGTCTTTGGGTATCTTGAGGTTTTAATAAGGTGAGCTGCTTTATGATTCTTTCTCAGTGAATTACGGGAGAAATTGTTCTATGAAAAACAGGAGTAAGTGGCCACTAGAAGACTTCTGCATTCAAAAGGCTTAGTGTGGTCACTGCAAAAGTTGTGAGTTATCCGCGACGGAATCAGGTCAGCGTTCTGAAATGGATCCAGTTAATGAGAATGAAAGCACCAATAATTCTGCATCAAAAGCCCTTGCGTAAGTCTTTAGGTCAAACCCCCAACAAAGTTAATTGCAGCCTTCTCACCTCCTTCCCCAGGCTTCACATGAGGCCTCCAATTCTAGGGCGCTCCACTTCCCAGCTTCACGTTACTTTGCAGCTCAGATAACACAGGTTCCACAGAAAGAGCTGATATGAATAGTTTCTTAGAACAGCTGCAGAGGAGATTAATGAGAAAAACTGTTCCAAAGGGGAAAGCAGCTGGACAAGTCCAGACTAAAAGGAAGAGAAAGAAGGATGAGGAAACAAAAAGGAAACCTGGAAAATAATGAAGTAGTAAAGATTCCTTAGAGGGCGTGGAATCTTCCTGCTCCTGTCTGCACTGGCCTGACTCATACAGCATTAGTTTTGGCACTCTAAATTATTGTCGTGTCATCGTATGTCAGAAGGAAATGTGCCATTCTGATGTGAGATGTAGGAAATTGCGTGGGAAATACTGATTCACTGCAAAGAAAATAGCATATTCATAAAAACTCACCTGTGAGGCTTGTGGCACACTAAATAAAAATAGCCTACTTCCAGTACTGAATTAAAACGGTGAATACGCATGTAATTCTTCAGTAATATGCAGAGTCAAAATCAAAAAGAAA